GATTTCTTTGTATCTTTGCATAATGTTGCAGTAAACAATGACAGGCATTGAATATGTTCAAATCATATTAATATTAAAAAGCTACAAATTATGTAAATATATAAAGATGTATTTATAATAAACTTACATTTTTTAATTCCTTGTGCGAATTGTAAATTCTTTTAACTTGTTGAATAGATCATAGATGCATTAATCCAATTTCAACATACATGTAATATTGCAGTTGGATATGCTGTTTGTATAATTGTTTATTGGTACATGCGTCAAAGAGAAAGGATTAGGCGATTAAATATTGAACCATAAGAATCTAGGGAAGTAACAGATCTTGTGCGAGAAATAATATCTCAAAGAGGAATATTGTCGAGAAATTATCAAAAATGAATCCACTAGCTTTGAATTAATTGTGTGGAATATTAGAGAAGAACGATGAGCTTAAACCAACTTTAATGGTTGCTATTGAAGAACATGTTGCAAATTTTAATATATGTTAGGACACAAGGCAATAACTCCCTCAAGTTAGTAAGATATTTGGTCAATCTAAAGAGAATGAGAGCCGTCATTTTCGTAATGTTCTAGGAGATATGTTAGAGTTGGAGGAGATGTTTTTTAGATCACGCGTTCCTTCGGAGTTACTCACCAATTCAAAGTGTCATCCTTATATCAAGTGATGATAACTTTCTTCACTTCTAATTATGTGTAGGTTGTTATATATTAGATTCTAATTAGTTAGGATTGTCTTGGTGCAATTGATGGCGCATACACATTCGAGTAAAAATTTCTCCTGCTGATGCCCCTAGTTATCATGGTAGGAAGACTATCCACACAAAATGTGCTAGCAACATGCACCTTTGACTTGAAATTTACTTATGTTTTTGTGTGGAGTGGGAAGAAACTGCATCTGATTTCAGAATAATTAAAAATGCTCTACAAAGACGAGTTCCACTTAGGTTCCCTCCAGGTGAGCATAAGCTAATAAAAACTTGAAATTATGTCTTTATAATAAGCTAAAAATGAAAATTAAAAAAATATTAACTTGTCAATACAAGATTCATGTTACGAAGTGGCTTCCTTCCACCTTATAAAGGGAAAATATACCGTTTGAAAGAGTATTCAAGAAATCCACCAAGGAATCCAATGGAGTTATTAACCTACGACATGCATCACATCACAATGCTATTGAAAGAGCGTGTAGTGTCTTGAAAATAAGATTTCGTATTATAGCAAATTCAAATTCAAATAAACCAAACTATGGTGCTCAAACCATAGTTGCATGGAACCCGGTTTGTTCCGGTTCACAGGACGATACGGGAGCGTAGTACGCCTCTCACTAGGAATCAAGCACAAGGGGGGAGGCTTATGCGATACGCTAGGGTACGTGGTACACTTTAGGCTCGTTTCTTAAAGGTATGAACAAGGTTTTAAATGTCAGATGTCGGGTTCATATCGAATAGTTAAAATTCATGTCAGATAGCGGAAATCGGGGATATGTCGGGGGACATATACTAAATATCGGATTACCATATCGGATGAATTTCTACTCAATTTTGGTCACCAAGATGGAATGCACTTGTCTTATTACAGCTTATCCTACTTGAATTGAGTATTCATCGGCAAGACACGTTGTTTCCATTTCTTGAAGGGAAACATTAGAATACTATGCCAACAAATAAATAAAATACACATTGTCAAACTAGAACTTTCAAAGTGCCTTGAATAAAATTAACATAAAGTAAAGTGTCTTGCATAAAATTGATATAAAGTGTTAAGACTTTGAACTGATTTCAAGCTATGGTTTAAACTTATTGTTTACATCATGCTTTTAGGAATTCTCAATTTCAATTTGTAGAGACGAAGACAAACGAGAGGAGATCGCGACGGAAAATAGCAATATTTTTTCTTTGCCCTAATCTGTATTATATGCTATCAGCTATGAAGCACGGACACGGAAACGACGACACGGACACGACACGGACACGGCAAAACCCAAAAAAATAGGATACGGCGACACGGCTAGATTTTTTAATATTATTATTATATATAGATCAATATTGAATTAAATTTCTATTACATTTTTATATTTTTTGTTATGTAAAGTGGAGGTTATAAATAAGAAACTAAAGAAAAGTGTGTGTTGCAGGTGTGAATTAAGATGTCAGGATGGCAATGATCTCTTAAAGAATTGAAGATAATAATGTTAAAGAAGACAAGAAAGAGAAGATGAACATATAGAAAAATAGATCAATTTTTTATGTTATATTATTATGTAACATTAACTTGTATAATCAATGACAAATGTAAGTTATGTAACTGATTTGAAGATAATACCAAATTTTAATTTTCATTACTTTCATTTTGAGCATATCAAAATACAAGAGAATAAAGTTCAAGTTGCAACTAGTTCTATGACTACAAAATACTAAGTTACTAACATTACAAAAATTACAACCAAAAGCATATCTTAAAAATAAATTTCTCAAGTTAAAACATCAAAAGATCATTCTATGGTTTCAACTCCTTCATCCTCCTCAAACACAACGGCCCCCATCGTGGGCTCGTCAAGAGAAAGGGCGGCAACATCTAAAATACCGGCATCTTGAAATGAGTCAAAGACATCTCCACCAACATCCCACATTCTTGATTCCCCTTTCATATACTCTTCCAAACTTCGAGAAAGTAAGCGAAGGTTGGTGTGAACATAAACAAGATCCTTTGCACGTGCCGGGGTTAGCTTGTTCCTCTTTAAGGAGTGAATGAAATCATACGTACTTCAATTCCGTTCACAACAAGAAAAGGAACAAGGTTGGTCTAGAAGCTTTACGGCTAATGATTACAAATTTGGAGTACTTGCAC